TAAAAATTAAAAAAAACAAATGAAAACTACAGATAAAAGTTCATTTTCTCCATCAAGACATTCATTTCTGTAGTTTACTGCTACCAGCAAGAAGAAATATTTCTTCTCCTGATGATGGCCATTTTGGCCGAAACTAGTCGAGGAATCTAAATGAAATAATAATAAAAACGAAGTAATATTAATCTACAACACAGTGTGTCTGAAGATTTTAATTTTTTAATATTTTTTATTGTTCAATATATATATATATATATATATATATATATATATATATGATTCTATTAATAAAAAAAATTAGTCCAAAGATGGGCTTTTCAGTTACCCACCTTTAAACTTATAAAATATATTTATCATATTCTCTCACATTTCAATCGGCATAGGTATTTGTTTAAGGCAATAATCTCACACGACATTAATGCCTAGTAGTTGTACCTTAAATCTAAGTATGTGTTTTATATAGCAAAACCATTTAACCCATAAGCGTGTTAAAAGATTTAGCTACTTTCATTTGATTAGTTTGCAATACTTTTTTCGGTAAAACCCATTATCACCTCTCTTTGTATAATCACTTTGTTAGGTGAAAATGCACGCAAGCGAATATACGCTGCCTTACATTCATTAATACAGTTTCTCATACGTCCAGACGTAGACTATCAGTGGAGAAAGAATATATATTAATTCCATCACATTACGACTGTCAATTTTCAATTTTGTTTTCTCGCCGTAGAAAAATATGACGGTTTGAAAGCAAGGGAAATTGAATGCATTCACTTTGGGATAAAACATTTACAAGCGATTAATATTCATGTCAGGCACGTGAATATGCTTTTTAATAGACTACTTTTCATATACAAACACACATACACACAAAGATTTATGTATATCAACTAATATAGAAAAAATACGTACACAAGAAAAATATAGCATTTGCAGAAAAGTCATTAGTCGAACCAATTTCCTATAATCTGACCAAATAAACAAATATTCCATTTTTAAGGGCTTCTTATTCAGGTCGAGAAATTCTGAGCCACCCTCGATTGTATATACTGGACACGATGCATCAATTGTCGCCTAAATTACAAGAAAATTAACATAACATTTGAATAGATATATTTACCAACATTACACTAAAATATCATGGAATACTAAAGACTATATTTATTCAATAAAATCCATATTGGCTTCAACCATGGCTTCCAGACGACATCGGAATCCCCTGTAACTCTTTTTAAACTTCTCCTTGAAATTGCTGAGTACTGCCATAATCATTGCCTTCTGTTCATGTTTGTTGCTCAACTGCGCCCTACATAATAATCAATTGGATTGCAGTCTGGAGAGTTTGGTGGACAGATGTAAGGGTGGCAGTAATTGACAGCCATGACAGGTTCTCCTGCTGGTGTGGCATGGAGCAGAGTCCTGTTGCTAGACATAGGGTCTTTCAGTAGCCACCATATCAATTCAAGCAGCACTACCGTCTCAAGCTACTTGATGTAGACCTCCGTGCGTAGCCTGAGTCCCTCACTATCTAATTCAAGATTTCTTTCAGATCAGAGAGTTTTTCGACCTACCGTACCTTCTTAATCACCATTAGCCTCATTCAACTCTTTTTGATTCCTCTACACTGTCCTTAAACTGACATCCAAATACCCTGAAATGTTCGTATTGAAACTTCTAGTTCGAATGCCTAGCAGTACTACATGCCAATTCCAAATTTCAGAGGGAGTAAATTGTGTCATGATGCACTTTTTCTCACAGACGCTGCCCAAAGGACATTGTTATACTGTGCAGTCGACAAAATCAAACAACGCGCATGCGGGAAATTAAAAATATACAATGGCGACAATATATCCACCACAACCTGTATTAATTATGTTTTACACAGTGCAAAAGTCCAGACCTCGTGCGGATCGTACAAACACAAGCGAAAAATCGACAACAGAGGAAACCTCGATATAAATATTTTAGAATGATTAGACTTGTTTGATAGAGAGCAAAAAGAGGTAGCCATCGGGGATGGAACTCACATTATTTGTGAATGTTTTGCTAAACATGTTTACGGACCATTTATCTATAGTAGACATCCCAAGGATATTTTTCTTTGAGAATATTATATATGATTTTTTTTTAACTGTGATTTTCATTATTATGTTTATCAGTACAAACTATTGTTATTATTTTATTTCCTTTGATTTCTCTTGTATACTAATTTCTTTTCGGGTCTGAACCAGAGATCTAAGGTCAGAAATGGTATCATGGAATTTTCTACTGAACATTTTAAAAAAAAACGAACATCACACACGTTTTCCATGGTAAAAGCCTTTCGTAAAGTGTAAGCTGTACATGTGAGTACAATGTTTTGTTACTTTAAGGCTTGGGCTTCCAGGAATTAATCTATCAGAACCTTTTTCAATCAATCCTAGTGCTCCAACTACAGATGGAATTATTGATTTTCTCATGTGCCACATTTTTTAAATTTCCACTTAACAATCCTTTTATTTTGATAGTTTTTGGGGATCTTCAAATATACATTAAAGTCTGTTAAGTGATTAACTTCGATTGATCTGTCTGTGTGCATTGTAAAGTCCCATAAAATTGTTATAGTTCCTGTCTCTGTAACCGGGCCTGCAATTTCTTGCAGGTTCCTTGCCATAAAAGTTGCATATTTTCCAGTGAAGATATTGGCCCACTCTGTCATACCCACATTTATATTTATTGGGTGCCGATACCGTGCAACCTGACACAAGATGGTGAATCGTTTCTCGATATTTACCATAGAATCAGCATTTGGGTCTAACACATTTTTGTCAGTGTCTGTTTGTAATTCAGTGTCATTTTGTAATTTCTATTTAGCAATCATTGTTCCTGTCAAACAAGAATAAAAACTTTGGTCTCAGCTTTTAAATCTGCACGACGTAGCCACTGAATATTATTATTATTATTATTATTAAATGTGGGAGCGACTCTTTAAGAAAATCATGTGAGTTTACAAATATATAAAGCCGAATATACCCATCATCATACTCAGTGTGGTTAGGTGTACCAAGCATATTCAGCATCATCATCATCATCATCATCATCACCATCCCTTTGACATTTGCAATCGTAAGGAGGATCCGAATGTAGACGTTGCACTAACCCTTTTCCACAACAGTCTATCAAGGGCAGCCATCAGCAATTCTGGTACAATCATACATGTCCATTGTTTGAGATTGTCCCACCAATTTTTGCGTTGGCGTCCTCTTCTATGTCGAACTTCAACGGTGTCTTGCATAATAATCATGCACAGGCTTTTTTAACTTGTAATGTTCCAAACAATGCCATTTTTATCAGTTTGACGGTGACGAGATGAGGTTGCTGTTGTCTCACTAAACTTTCAACCCTTTTTGCTTTTTCTTTTTTTTCTTTTTTCTTTTTTGTTCATTCGATTCAAAAACATACAACTAAGTCAAATATGCGATTTGTCTATGGTTTTGATAAAAGTATTCCATAACTTGAATGTGTGAAGGTGTACTTTTTATCTCACCGTTTCAGGTGATCTAAAACTCTTCACTGATTAAGAGTGTTCCAAATATTAAAATGTGACTTCCAAGTTACCAAGCATCTCGGCACCAGGCCTTATGTTTCCCCATGTCTTTTCACAGTGCACCAGTATCTGCGTCATGGGTATGACGATAAACTACATCCGGCAGCCAGGAAGTTTTTGAGAAACGAGTGACAACCTCTTAACTGCTGCTGTCCCGCGGTCCACCGTGGCCTAGAGTGGTAGCACCTGTTAGGTTCCCAGCTATGGGAAAATAGTTAATCCCCAAACAGGGATCAAAACATTATGAAAGTATAAAAATACATTCTTGGAAATGAAGGAGAAATATTACCAGCAATCCATTTTTTGAAAAAAAAATACCAAAGCTTGCAATGAAATTAAATTTCGGCATTAAATGACCCATAAATAGTTGGTATGCCGTTAAACCAAACCATCATACTATAAGCAAGATGTTCAATTATTTAAGGTCAGACCGTTTGCATACAAATCTGTGGTTTTGAAACTGGTTATACTGTCGACTTTCTTATTTATTATGATTTTCGTTTTGTTGTTGTTTTAATACTTTGATCGTTTTATTGATTATTAAATTATTAGTATTTAATATCATGTGTTTTACTTTGGTTTCAATACTACTTTTTGATATATTCGTGGATAAGTTCATTACATCACGATTTCAAATGGGTATATATGAGTTTCTGGAAAGTTATCTTGCACAAATTGAGAACGCTTGCTACTGTATTCCAACTTTCCTTAACTCGAAGCATATCTGCTGTATCTACTATAACCCCAATCGGAATTAAAATGAATATATTCAGTCCAAATGTGGGAAGGCATCAAGTTAGAGCAAGAGTGAGAAATAGGGGTAATATCTTGGCGCCTATGGCGTCCATGGTGGAGAAATCTACACATCGGATTCTCAATATAAGGCGATTTCTTCTACATTCCATGCGAATGGGTGAGCGATTGAATAGACCCTCGGAATTACGAAGAATACAAATCGAAAGAACTAAACTAATACTTAATTTAATTAATTTTATCTTTTATTATTATTTAATATATTATTTTCAAATGATTAAATTCAAGGTGAATATTATTATCATTAATTAAGCTTATATTAATATAAAATTAATTTATTCTGAAAGGCTAAATTTAATTTAATTTTTGTTTACGAGAGCTGCACTGAAAATTTACTTGGAAAATTGCCACATTTGAAAATACTTTCTTCTATAATTAAAAGTACATAAGTTTATACCGTTCAGTCGGATTGCCAACATTGTGTTTTGAGTTTCAATGTTTAAACAGAATCGTTTCAAATAACACAATGTGGCTTTGGTCGGCGCCTGCTACTCAAACTCTTAAATAATGCATGAGGCTTTCCTAATGATGATGTCTGTGAATGGCTGGTTGAACTCTGTTGCAAATGCCAATCGGCTCTTAATTCCTGTGATGCCGTTTGAAAATGGATTTCTCAACGCGTCTCCATTGTCTTGCGAGGTAAGGCTGCCTGTCAGATTCTTGGGGCAGGTCAGATATTTCATAGCTCATTGTCAAATTTTTCATGTGGAAACGTTTGATACACGAGAATTTTGCACGGGAACAGCGTTGTGTGTTTTGTAGCCCGTCGATATCTGATTGGCAAGGTTCCTTTTTATCCGAGAACATGACAAAAACATGAAGCGCAGGTGTTTCAGCAGGATCTTAAAATACCTCACATTGATGTTTTGAAAGCACGCAACAAATATCCACCCAGATTCGCTGGCCAGTAGAAACTTAGACTCAGTAACCTTGATTTTTTCATCATGCGTTCTTTCTTGGTTTGTTTCTCATTATTTCTGTGCAATTTAAATGCGTTCGCCTTCAGTTAAATTTCACTTTATTCTCGCATTCCAATTATCCATGAGAATTATTTCAGCTTTGGTTTCATATATCACACATGTATTTTCTTCCTTCATTTTTATTTCTTATTTGTTTTCTATTTATTTCTTTGATGTTGTCTATTTATTTTATTTTATTTTCCGTTTGATTTTTATTTTGTTGTTTTTCTTTCTTTTTTCTTGATGTTCCGTTTACAATTTATCTTTAAAAATTTCCCCGTCATTTTTATTCATAATTTTTTTCTTTTTCTTTATATTTTTTCTATCATTCTCTAAATTATTATCTTTATTTTTTTCTTTTTGTGTCCGGCAAATTTGATCATTACTTTACTTTTGTAAATTAACTTCATAGAGTTTTATTCTTTTTTCCTTCTTTTCTTAAAGTTTCTCTGATTTTTCTTTCTATACTAAATTTCTTTCATTTTTGTCTTTCTGTTTTCCTGTCTTTCTTTCTTTTTTTCTTTCTCCTTCACTATTTATTTTGATTGATTTCCTTTTTCCGTTTTAATTTAATTTTTGTCGATGGTTTTCAGTTTCTTAGATTCATTCGACTAATTCTTTAATTGTTCCGAATGATTTTCTATTTCTTCCTTTTTATGAGTTTTTTTTCTTTTAGTTTTTGTTCTAATTATCTTTCTTTTTCTCTTCTTTTTTCCATTTCGTCACATTTCCCCTTTATTCGTTTCCTTTTTCCCTTCAATTTTTTATTATTTATATTTTATTACATTTTAATGGAATTTATTCTTGCAAGTCCATCAGGTTACATTTTTTTACTGTTTCTATATTTTTTAATTTTCATACATTTTCGTCTTAAATTATTTATTTATTTTCCTTCCTTCCTTCCTTCCTTCCTTCCTTCCATCTTTTCTCCCTTTCTCCCTTCCATCCTTCCTCCTTTTCTTCCTTTCTTTCTTCTTTACATCCTTCCTTCTTTTCTCCCTTCCTTCCTTTCTTTCCATCTTTCCTTCTTTTCTCCTATTCTTACTTCCTTCCATCCTTCCTCCTTTTCTTCCTTTATTCTTTTTTACATCCTTCGTTCTTTTCTACCTTTCTTCCTTCCTTCCATCCTTCCTCCTTTTCTTCCTTTCTCCCTTCCATCCATCCTTCCTTCTTTTCGCCCTTCCTTCCTTTCTTTCCATTCTTCCTTCTTTTCTCCCATTCTTCCTTCCTTCCATCCTTCCTCTTTTTCTTCCATTCTTTCTTCTCTACATCCATCCTTCTTTTCTCCCTTCCTTCCTTCCTTCCTTCCTTCCTTCCTTCCTTCCTTCCTTCCTCCTTTTCTTCCTTTCTTTCTTCTTTACATCCTTCCTTCTTTTCTCCCTTTCTTCCTTCCTTCACCCCTTCCTCCTTTTCTTCCTCCTTTTCTTCTTTACATCCTTCCTTCTTTTCTCCCTTCCTTCCTTCCTTCCTTCCACCCTTCCTCCTTTTCTTCCTTTCTTTCTTCTTTACATCCTTCCTCCTTTTTTTCTTTTCTCCCTTCCTTCCATCCTTCCTTCTTTTCTCCCTTCCTTCCTTTCTTTCATCCTTCCTTCTTTTCTCCCTTTCTTCCATCCTTCCTCCTTTTCTTCCTTTCTCCCTTCCTTCCATCCTTCCTTCTTTTCTCCCTTCCTTCCTTTCTTTCCATCCTTCCTCCTTTTCTCCCTTCCTTCCTTCCTTCCTTCCTCCTTTTCTTTCTTCCTTTCTTTCTTTTTTACATCCTTCCATCCTTCCTACTTTTCTTCCTTTCTCCCTTCCTTCCATCCTTCCTTCTTTTCTCCCTTCCTTCCTTTCTTTCCATCCTTCCTTCTTTTCTCCCTTTCTTCCTTCCTTCCATCCTTCCTCCTTTTCTTCCTTTCTCCCTTTCTTTCCATCCTTCCTTCTTTTCTCCCTTCCTTCATTTCTTTCCATCCTTCCTTCTTTTCTCCCTTTCTTTCTTCCTTCCTTCCATCCTTCCTTCTTTTCTTCCTTTCTTTCTTCTTTACATCCTTCCTTTCTTTCAACATTCCACTTTTATGTGTTAATGTATTTTTGTTGATTCTGCTTTCTTCTTAACTTTCTATGATTTCCTTAAGTTTTTTATCTTCTTTTTAATTTTTGCTTTTTTTATTTCATCCACATTGTCTTTATTCCTTTATTTCTCTATTCACTTCCAATCCATTTATACGCTGTTGTTTTCTAAAAATCCCTTCTTTTTATATTGCCTTTCACCTTTACGCTCTTTGAATTCTTAATGTTGCTATCAAAATTTTCTCTTCCCGCCTTTGCACTTCAATTTAATTCAATTTTTCTATTACTGTTTGACTAGCTTACGGTGTCTAACTGAATTGTTACAATGACCGAAAACTGTACCAGCTGAGCCGTATTCCGATTCCAACAGAAGCTGCTTTTTTATTATTATTAATTTGGAACTAATTCACTTAGAGAAGACCTGAATTCACCTGACACTCTTCTATGATGTCTTCTCAGCTAATGCTGATCGTTTTTGCAATGAGGTAGACTGTTGTATATATATATATATATATATATATATATATATATATATATATATATATATATATATATATATATATATATATATATTTTCATGCGGGGTTTATATTCTAATGACGTTACTGCAACGTTGGACTTAACCATTATTTCTGATCAAACTCTGGGCGTCCATCCAAACGCCATGGTAATGTTGCGGAGGGCGGAAGCCTGAATGATTCCGCTCTGGTCAAATAACAAGGAAAAATACTTCTTTTTTTTTAACTTAATACTATGTATAGAAAGTATAAAATTGCTTTCCCTATATTTTAGAATTGAGAATCACTAATTTAGATGATTAATATCAGGCCTTTCATTTTTTTTTAATGATTTTGCGCCAAGCAAGGCAAGAATCCAAATAACACCCAGGGAGAGTTACTGATGGCGGAAGAATATAAGAAAAAGAAAAAAACAAATAAGGATCGGGAACTATAAAGGGACAGAAATTCAGAAGACAGAAGATATCGATTGTCATTTAAATTTTTGAAGATTAAAGTTGGCTAGAATGCATGGAGTCGTAATCGAGTTCCAAAAGCGAGAATTGCGAGAAAAGTAAATGTTAACCTCGAACTTACGATTACATCATGTCATGTCAACTGTAAAATGATGAGATTTTGTCGTTAATCTCGTACTGAACTTGAAGTCATATAGTCTAGAAAAATATACATGGAAACTACACTGCCGAAGTGGGAAAGTGACTGAAGCCGAGAGCCGGGGCCAGAACCAATGACATTGCAGATTTTCTTTGTATTTCACCAAGGATCTCTACATATATAGCAGGGACACAAGATCATATATGGCAGCAATATTCTAAACATGGTCGAATGGTAGATTTATAAATGTGTAAGATAGATTCAGGCGTGAAAAATTGACTAGAACCACCGAAAGTACCAAATTTCCTAGCAGCAGACTAAGCAATAGTTTTAATATAATATATCTATTTCAGCAAAAAATAAAATGACGGCATACACCTGGAGGTTAGCATTAGCGGTGCTGATGGAAGGTAGAAAGATATATCTAAGACTATTAATAGAGAGCAGTTTCGTTAAAATCGATAAGCCATCCATTGCCCCAGTTAACAATAGAATATTGATATTTTTTTAGACTAGCTGCTAATTTGAATTTAACGAACAGTTCAGAATTACAATTAAGAGAGGACTAAGTAGTTTTGTCATCAGCATAGATACAGAGTTGAATACTAATGACACCAAGAAGGTCGTTTAAGAAAATTAGGAACAGCATGCGCCCAAGAGTATAGCAATGGGAAAGACCTGCATCAATTAAGAAATATCTAGGAGAGTGACATTTCAAGACAGCTTTCTTTTCACGATTAGATAAGAAAGATTGAACTAATTAAAAGTAATTATTACAGAAATACTATGACTTTCCAACTTGCGAAGAAGACAAGTATGCCAATACCTGCCAAATGTCTTCAAGATTTCTAATGCAACAGCGCGAGCTTCACTATTTTGGCTTAAACCTTGATAGACTCTTTCAGCTATTTTCCCACAGAAGCAAAATCCATATAATTTATCTGAAAGAAGAACTTGCCAGGTGAGATTCATATCCAATTTGGAGTTGTTCTAATCTATTTCTGGACATTTTTTCCATTTTATTTTACTTTAACATTGTGAAGCAACGGATTTACAGCTTTTTTCCCCAGCAAGGGAGTATAGCCACTAAGACAAAAAAAGGGTTTATGTGTGTGGAAGTATTAGAAAACAGAACATTTACTAATGAACGAGAACAAAAGAAGATTGATAAGGAATATACTAGATAGCGATTACACTTGCATTTAAACTTTTGAAGATTAAAATTATCTGAAAAATCAAAGAAAGGATTTCCACAAGGAGGTGTGAAAAAACAATTAGCATAAAACTACATCTAGCCACCGTAACTGTAAATTGACGAGACCTTGTCTCCAGTCTAGTAATGCGTTAAATTCATTAAGTAACATAGCGATAAGGTCATCCAAATAATTACCATGAAAATCTTTGTAGACAAGTTATTGAGGGGTAAAATTAGAACGGGAAGAAAGAAACTAAAGCCGAGACGCCAGATCAGGTCGAATAATATCGCTGATTCTTATTTGGATTTATCAGAAAGGTCTAGATATATAAAAGGAGTAGGAGAACCGGGGCATATATGACAGCAATATTCTAAGCATAGGCGAATAGTAGAGTTATAGATATGCAAGGTAGATCTTGGAGAGAAAACTGTCTAGCACGACAAAGTGAACCAACTTTCTTAGCAGCTGACCTAGCAATGGAGAGTTGCGAATAAAGTGTGCGGAGTCTACAAAGATGATTTTGCAACCTCCATGTCACGTTTTAAAGGCGTTGTAGCTGTGTTCCCAGAATTTTATTCCTATAACTAACTTGCTAGCTGCGAAAAAAAATTTTGTCTTCTTCAAACTTGAAAGGATTCAGTTTAATATTTGAAACTTTTTTTCTTTCTCTTGTGCAAAGTGAAGACATTTTATATCCGCTCTATCAAAATTGCCATTATATTAAGTTTTCTTTTTTGAATCGTCTATTTCTATTTATCCTTTCATTCACATCTGGATCATTCATTTAATTTTCCACAATTTTGGACATTCATTAATTCATTTATATATTATTTAATTCTATTATTTTTTATTCATGTTTTCAATCGTCTCTTAGAATACATTCATTTTCTCTTGTATTCCATTTAAATCAAAACCAAAATATTACATTACAGAAATGTTATGATCACTTCCCAAATTTTTAATAAAATATATTTTTGTTACTTTTGTATCATATTCCCTGTTAGTTATTTTTTTCTTTCTCTTTCTCACCTTTCTTTTAGTCACATTTGTCTCCTTTTTTTTTCATTTGGTAATTTTTTTAGTTTTTAGTTTTGACGATTTTCTCACTTGTTTAGTAATAAGATATTTTCTTAATAATTATGGAAAGTTTTTGAATTATTTCCAATAGATAATTTTAAAAGAATCCAAAGCTTTTCCATAAACAACTTGCTTTGTTTCTTTATGTACTATGCGTGGTGTTATTCATGCCTGACTTATCTGAGGAATCTCCGCATTAATGTTCCGTTAGCTTCCGCGGTAGACAAGTTGCTAACCAAGACTATAAGATCCAGTATAACATAGATGGATTCATAATTTTTCCAAGGCTATTTGCGCGAAAGTCAGTGTAAAGAACGTCTTTCCTATTTAAATTTCCGAGTTGTTATAATTCATAACATATCCAAGCTTACAACACCTGACATTTTCGAGCGGTCACAAATCTAGATACTTAATCCTGCTTAAAATGGGTGCTCGAACGAGAACCAGTGTTGCAACGTTTTATGGCCTTAAGCGCCATAATAATCTATTATGCCTATTGACTAACCGTTTTTATATTGATTAAAATAATCACAAGTAAAAATCTTGTCAAAAGAAATGCAAAATACCCTTTTGTTAATTCATTTAGCGAAAATTCCTACAATATAATTTTTGATACACAGGATTACATTCACCCGTGACACACCTAGAAAACAGAAAATATACCAATTTTAATAAATTGGCGATTTTGCAGACATTAATATCCACTATTTATTCTCGGAAGCAGTCATGTAATATGATATATTTTTCGAGGTATATCTGAACGTGAGAAGCATCGTTCACAGTGTCTTCTTCCCAAATGGACAGGCGATCAATCAGCAAGCCTACAAAAGTTACAGTGGCGTTTGCATTGCTCAGTGCACTAAAAGAGACGAGAGGTGTGGCAGGACAAATCGTAGATGGTTCACCGCAACAATGTACATGCTCAGAAATCCCAGATTCTCCAGTAATTCCTGGTCGAGTAGAACATCGCCCTACTGGAACAACCTCCTTAATCAGCTGATCTTACTCCGGGTGACATTTTTTTTTCCAAACTCAAGGAGACACGTTTTGAAGGCGTGTAGGCCCTCAAGAGAGCAGTAACAACGGAAATAAGGGTCATTCTTGAATAATCCTTCCAGCAATTCATAGAAGCAATGCAGAGTAGAACGGAAAACTGCATTAGACTCGATTAGGTTGATTTGAAGGGGAGACCATGTAGTCTGTTGTTTGGAATTGAAATATTTTTTTGACACCAGTTCCGTTACTTTTCAGCCATACCATATATATATATAGGAATCCATCGATTATTGCGGCTAATGTGTACATTAAAAAATACACACTATCGAAAAACCATTAATCGTGCATAAACAAAATTGATAAACAAATTAGTTACCCATTTTCCATTTTTAAATTTTAGAAAATGTTTAATTAATCAGTAATTATAAAATAAATTTTCAGTTAATATGGTTGAATTGAAGAATGTATTACCGAACTAATTGAGTATTATGCATGCCTAATCGAATCAAAAACGCATTAGCCGAATGTGCATATATATATATATATATATATATATATATATATATATATATATATATATATATATATAAGTGTGGAATCGTACATCGTTGAGAAGTTTCCTGATATATTAGC